GATGAGAATCTGAATACTGTGGCTAGACGGAAGGCAGCCCACAAAGCTCAAGACAAAAGTGAAGGTAACACAGAAGGATATGATGTTCGTTCATGAGCAGAATGGGTTTAACAGGTTCTGTGACAAGAGAAGGATTATATCTCTATGATATATGATCTTCATTAAAATAACTTTATTGTCTTCATTGGTAAAATTTGTCCTTAGCATCCTTTTATGCTGATGGCAACATACCACAGGTGGGCGACCAGTAGTAAAACATAAAATGTATACATGGCAGTGTAATAAAACAAGATGTAAATCAGATTACATGCACTGTAAAACAACAGCATACAAATGGTGCTAGACAGAATGCCTATAGGTACATGTAATAAAACAAAAAGACATACACCTGTGAAGGCAGTGAGTTAATTCAGTTCAGATGCCATGAGAAGACCCCTTATTTATCTTTTAATTCCTAACAACACATTCATTGTGTTTCTCCATATGACCAGTCTTTCTACATAAAGTTTAATATATAAGACATGAGGGAACTTTTGGGATCTCTTTTGCAGATGGCAGAACAGAAACTGAACTGACCAAAGAGCCAGACGCTGCCACAGCCACAGAAACAGAGAAGAAGGAGCAGCCAGAGGACAAGAAGGTACTCTCCAACCATGTCCTGGTGGTTATCAAAAAGCCCAGAAGTCAGTCTTTGATACCTGTCTATGTAAGAGTCAATGTACAGAGCTGAAACTGTAGGCAAATGGCATATTTAGTTTTCTCTGGTCTTTGCTTTATCGCTCATTTACCTGATGTGACTCGTGATGTCTGTCCTCACCACTTCAGGAGGATGTGCCTGCAGGAGAGGATGGGTCAGGAGGCTCAGAAGACTCTGACAGTGATGAAGATAGCACTGAGTCCAGTGAAGATGAAGATGATGACGAAGAGGAGGAAGAAGAAGAGAAGAAAGAAGATGAGCCTCTGTCTTTAGAGTGGCCTGACACACGACGTAAACAAGCCACCTACCTCTTCCTGCTGCCCATAGTTTTCCCTCTGTGGCTCACAGTCCCTGATGTTCGCAACCAGGTATGACTCAGAGCCGTCTCTGAGATCAGCTCTGCTCTCTCAAATGCCTGAACATTGTTTTGCTGATAAATTGTTTTCTCTGTCCAATAGAAATACAGAAAGTTCTTTGTGGCCACCTTTTTGGGGTCTATTCTGTGGATTGCTGTCTTCTCCTATCTCATGGTGTGGTGGGCCCATCAGGTCAGTCATGGTAGTAAAAGTTTAAGATAAGATCTGAAATGCACAGCTTGGATAAAGATAAATAGTGACCTTTTTGTTTTTGTTTTTTTGTTTTTTTGGCTTAGAGAGAGAAATCTGACAAGGAAGCCAAGTACACATAAGTCCATGTGTCAAAGGATGTTTTAATTCCATTAAAATCTTCCTGAGCCAATGAATAAGTTTTGAAAGTGACATTAAGAGAGAGAGAGAAACATGAAAGTAATCTTTTCTCCACTCTGAACACTGGTTTACATTGTAGGTGGGTGAAACCATCGGCATCTCAGAGGAGATTATGGGCCTGACCATCCTGGCTGCAGGAACTTCCATCCCTGACCTCATTACTAGTGTGATTGTGGCACGTAAAGGCCTGGGCGACATGGCTGTGTCCAGCTCTGTGGGTAGTAACATCTTTGACATCACTGTGGGGTAAGCCCCTGTAGCCTCATGAGTTAATTTGAAAGGAAATGCTGACGAACACGCTGTTAACAGATATCTGTATCTCCAACTTTTCTGTGCTTGACACTTTCTCTTTGTTTCAAAAGTCTTCCACTGCCATGGCTCCTGTATTCATTCATCCATGGTTTGGCTCCAGTGGCTGTCAGCAGCAATGGGCTCTTCTGTGCCATCGTGTTGCTCTTCCTCATGCTCCTCTTTGTCATCATCTCCATTGCATACTGTAGGTGGAAGATGAATAAGATGTTGGGTTTCACCATGTTTCTGCTCTACTTTATCTTCCTGGTGCTTAGCGTGATGCTGGAGGATCGCATAATTGTCTGTCCTGTTTCCATCTGAACATGTGAACAGAGGGCATTTGTGCAGCAGCCATTTTCTTCATTTGTGATCTGAAGCAGGCCTGTTAATACACATGTAAGGATTTCATCAGCATGGGTCTGGATATCTGCAGAAACCATGCGGAAAGCTACTGTAGTTACTCTGCATTGCTGTCAGTGGCATTTGTCTCACATGTCAATATACATACTACAACATTTTCTAGATCTCATTAGGACATACCCACTTTTAGTAATGATGGTAGTTTTTACAATAACTTTTCTATTATTCCAAGAGAAGCAGAATAATGCAGATGCAGAGATGTCTAATATAGTGAAGATGGTGCAGTTATAGCATTAAACAAAATGAATCCTAATGGGGATGTTAATATTTCTTTCACTCTTTACAAAACAGCATCTACATAATTAAATTAGAAATCTGGAATCACTGCACATTTTAGAAAATGTTGGTTTTAAAAAATGTTTGTTTAATTTAAATATGAAATCTATATTATACGTAAGTATATGCTGGCATCAACAACTTTCATTATAAAGAACCTGAGTTTGTTAAACTCACTATTCTTTAATGCACATCCATTTTATAAAAGAGTCAGACATAACAGTCAGTTTAGGAAAAAAACTTTAGATCCATAGAACATGTTTATTCATAAATGAAAGCAAACTATAGATCCAGCCAGAAATTTTATTTCTTTTTTTTATGTAAAAATGATACAAATCAGCATCTGTGTTACAATTGATAAATAATACTTCATAAACATCGTTTAACTTGTCAAATAGTGTAAACAACATGTAGACATAAAATTGTTTTGGTCATCTGTGTTTTTTTTTTCTTTTTTTACTTATTGGTTACAACTTGCAAGGTGGATTATATGCAAATTTACAAGCTGTGAGGCCGGCGTTTACTCCTAGCACACAGCCTTATCTAGTCCAGCATTGTGTCATTATAAGTTATTGTGGTGAAGTTCGGTAATAAGTTGCATCACACTACAAACAGGCAGGTTTTGTCAGTTACTACAGTATTACCACAGTGTACAATACTAGAAGTGATCGTGATATAGGGCAGGTTGGAGCTGTTTTTCAAACTTGACATCTTTGACATTTACATATCTTTTAATTTACTCAGTGCAAAGAAACGTTTTTTGTTTCGTCTTTCTTCAGTTTGATTGTACTGTTTTAAGAAAATGTATCCTTCGTGGTCCCATATAACACACAATTATTCAATCCACTTTTTTTAAGTATTGCCTAAAAAATAGCTGTAAATAGATCAATGAAGTATTAGTCCCCTTTGTGGTTACTTTGGTGCATTGTACAAAAAGGAAACATTAATAAACATGTATACATTAATTGAATACATCCTTCATGATTCAGAAATAATGTCAAGTTGTATCCTTTTTCTATGTTATCACCTAGTTTAGTGTATTTAGGCATATGAGTATGGCCCTACCAGGTTTACAATGTGCAGATAAGGAGGAATTTCTTTTGTGAATGTAATGGAAATATAAAGCCAGCACAGTATGTCCTGCAGCTGCCAAATAAAAAGTCACTTAAGTGTGGGCTGCTGGGCCACAGCATTACCTTAGAGCTCATCTTGTCAAAGTGCTTTGTAACATGAATGTCTAAAAAATCAAGTATTTATTATACAGACACTCGACAACAGTCTTGACAAGGTCACCAGGACCACTGAGGAATTTAGACAACGTGATCATACACTTACTTTTACATATTAACTCACAGCTTCAGAAACAAAGTCATAAAATAGACTATATAACTGTACAAACATTTCACTGCAGTTATACTGAAAATACAGTATATTTTAAAAAATATTTACAAACACAAGGTCTGTCACTCCACACCTCTCAGCTCTAAGAGAACAGAAGAAACTCATGGCAGTTGCATTGCATTAAGTGTCATTTCCCAGTTGTGCTTTAAAGAGACGTATTCTCCAATCAGGTGAGCTGGTCCTGAGCCTGAAGAGTAGTCCAAAACAACAGCAGCAGCGCCCGCAGTTGAAGGAAAAACATAATGTAATAGAAGAATTACAAACTGGGGCTTCCAAAAGTCCTCCTGCATTCCATGACCCCTGCTCCAGGGGGGCGGTCACAGTTGTGTGTCAGTTTAACCAGGTTGGGCGTGAGGCGGTCATATGCCAACTTGTACTCCCGGTCAAAAGCACCTGTAATGACAAACCAAATTTCCTGTCAGCCTACCCAGTATTGTAGAGATGTTTCAATCTGGACCAGAGTAGAGGGCCGCCCAATCAACAGACTAATATTGCCATTCCATGCTGCTAGCATGGCTAAAAACAGTATATCAGGTTATTAAACTTACTGATATTAATGTTGTTCTTCCCCAAAGCCACCAGTGCAAGGAACAATAAATCTCTGTAGAGGCTCCTTTTTGGTGAAAAAGAAAACAGAAAAATCAAATTAGATATTCCAGTTGTATCATCTTCCCTGCATGACCTAACATCAAAACCTGTATTTCCTTACCTCTGTCTCTTAAAACCCAGCTCTGGCCACAGCAGCTGTATGATCTGGCTCATGGGCTGATAGACATCGCTCTTCTTAATGCTCCTCACTAAACCCTGCAGTAGCTCCACAGTGAAGAGTTGGCCTTCTTCACACAGCCCAAAGCGAATCAGGGAGTTAGCACCTGCAAAGAAGGAGAGACAAAAGTCACCCTGATCAGAGACTCATTGATCTCCGTCACTCAAAATTAACTTTGAAAATGTAGCCATGATAAAGGTGGCATGACTAATAGGAATCCTGAACTGAATTATGGATGGAGTCACGATTTAATTTGCATGTAAATATCTGACCTTGATCAAACTTGTCAGCGTTACCATCATTTTCTGAAAGTAATTTCACCTTTAGAAACACAATGTACCTCAGTCTGTAATAACTTACAGTGTGTGTTCCACAGGACATAGCAGGGTTGGATTTTGTCTTGGTGCAACTTCAGGTTGTCCCACATAATTCTCACAAGCACCTGCTTACTGTCCTCAGATGAAAAGGCCTGAGGAGTCTAAAGGGAGTAAATATGTGGAAGATTAATCCCTGATTTTGTATCATACAGCCCATCTGGGTAGGATTTTAATGTTTTTATTTTGTTTTCATTTGTTAAAAACTGAAAATGAGCATTGCTTTCATGTATTATTTTGAATGCCTTTTTTATTACTACCACTAGGAGATGCCAAAGTCAGAAATGTTCAGATCCTACATACACAAAGTCAAGTGAGTTCATGGTAAATGGGCCAATTTACCCACTCCCATATGTGGTTGAGCTTGTCAGACTTATTTACCTGGTCGTCATGGCTACAGTGCTGGGAGGCCAGGATAAGAGCTGGCAGGTTGCTCGGCAGCTCCAGCCTTCTGAAGTACCACACAAGGTTCCAGAAGACAATAGGATGTTGGTCGACAATGCTTGGGGAGGAGATGGCCTGGTCGCCCTCATTTACCAGCAGGCTCTCCAGTTCCTTCCACAGAACCAGAGGGCTCAGGTAGGGCACCGTCACTGGAGCAGAGGCAGACGTTGGGGCTGAGGTTCGGACAGCTGGCTCAGCACTCCTGCTGCTGTCTTGCTTCTGTAGAGGAGCTGCGGAGGCTACTGCAGACGTTTTGGCTTCCGGATTGAGAGATGCAGACATGTCCTCCTCTATAACAGGATTACTTTCTTTAGAAGACCTGTCAGGATACAGAGAGTAGATCTGTTTAAAGAGGCCATAAGAATAAAAGAGGTTGTGTCTTCGTTTGTGTACCTAAATGCTTTTTGAAAAAGTACCCACCAGCTAGACACTGTAAAAAGACAATCTCACACATGACATCAAAAACATTTCACCTTATATTATTACTGAATTTAATGTCAAAATATGAAAGTACCTGATCAATTACTCAAAGTGTTTGAGTACATGAGTATATAACCTACAGTAAACACACTGTGATGATCTGTGTAAGCAGGATTGTTCTCAGATCTGTGATTTCCACATTGAGGAAAGGCAGGAATTCTGTGCCACATAAAGGACAAGTACTGTTGAGGTTTGAGTCATCTGCTGTCCAGCCAGCCATGATCTCCTCATCATACACCAGACAGTCACACGTCTTACAGAGCGAACAACTGGACATCAGCACCTATAGGAAGAAACATCATGACAAGGAACAAATAAGATGAAGAACAATACACAATCAGGATGGTCTGAGTCAGTCTAAAGCCAGGTGTCTGATCAGGGATATTGTATCTACAGTATGTAACTTACCTCTATAGCATAATGGACAGTGGGTTGTAAGCGGCTGGTGTCGGGGGAGGAATCTGGAGCGTGAGGACTTTTAGAGGGCCGTGCCAAACCACCTGAATATGATGGAACACAAAGAGGCAAAGATTTAACTAAACTATAAAAGCTATACACATCTGAATTAAATAAAGCACAACTGGAAAAGTTAAACCTAGCAGTAAAGATTTAGCATATCTGTGTGCCACATTTGTGTTGCTAGCAGTGTGCATGCGAGTATGTACTGTATGCGCATAGGGCCTGTGGCTGAGTGCGGAAAGGCCTACACACTGAATCAGCCCTCATGCCTGCTGGCCTAGTTTTCCACAGAACAACACCCAACTCTCTCCGTTACTGAGCCCTACTCCTTCTCTAAATTTAGATCACCAAGAGGTGTTTTTCCATGAACCGATGCAACACTGCAGTTAAAACAATGATTTAATGAGCACAGCTGTAAAGCACCTACTTTAAATATGTAGACTGTGCTGTCTAATGCAAACATTTCAAGATTCCACATGTAAAACACAAACTAGCAACTTTACTCCAATAACAGATTATGTAGAGGGATTTAAAAACCTGTCAAACACACCGGAGAAAGAGTTGTGTCTGAACACTCTGTTGGGGGTGCTAGGGCTGCCCAGGTTGGTTTGGCCCACAATGGGACTCCTCCTGAGTCGGGACATGCTGCTTTGCTGGGGGGAGCTAAAGCCATCTGGGTCCAGACAGGAGTCATTATCAAGCATCAAGGAGCAGTCTGCCTCTCCCGATGTCATCGAGGATACACTAATGCGGTCACAGTTTGCATCCTACAGGAGCCAAACAAAATTCACATTACAAGAGTTCACTGTGAATAGAATTCTGATATTATTGTTAGAAATAATCACTGGTGAAAACTGTTGCACTACTAACCTGTATTAATGAAGTCTGGGAGGACAGACGAGAGTAGAGGCGACTGGCCTTCTCAGCCACGCCCTTCCCTGCTGATATGACACTGCTCTTGAAAATATCCAGAGTTGGCGTAAAAAGGGAGTCCATGGAGAACGATGAAGTGGAGGGGGTAGGTGATGAGGGTGACACGAATGACAAAGGCCTCTCCTTGTCTTTGTTACAGACACCCAGTGGAAGTGATGGTGACGACCTCAGCCTCTCCTTGGATCTGACAGTCAGTGGGATGTGTGTGTTGGAGCGAAGCAGGGCAGGGGGTCGTGGGGAGGTGTGAGGTGAAGACGTGGAGCTAAGGAAGGGGCACGAGGGGCTCTGCAGGTCCATGCTGGGCGTGCGGCTGCTCAGAGGGCTGTTGCCGTTGTTCATGTACATCTCAATCTCCTCAGCGAGGTCGTGCCGAGCAGTAGGCGTGCTCTTGTTGTCCTTTCCACACTCTTGTGCAGTTGCGGTTGCCATCAGTGACAAGGGGTCAAATCCCGTCTCTATACCTGTCCTCCTCACTGTACCAGTGCTGCAGCTGATATTCCTCTCTGTGGAGACGCCTGGCCTCTCCACTGCATGACTGCAGCTTCCACTCCTCTCCGCCAGAGGTTTCTGTTTATCAGTCTCTGCCTCCTCTTCCTCTACCCAGTACAGTTTCTCTTCACAGTGATTCTGCTTCACAGAGCTTAGATAAGGCACAGTGAGCCTCAGAGTTCCAGACAAATCTAGAGATTTTGGCCTCTCTGTCTTTGGCAGAACTCCACACAAAATGCTATCAGTAGCGGGACTAGAACCAATCCTGCTGCTATTGCCTGTGAGAAAAACATATTTGGAAAAACATTTAGCTCTCATAGAGAAGGACTGAAGATTTATGATGCTGTTTTAAACAGCCATAATATCTTCAAGGCAATCTTCTTTATGAGTAAAACTCACCTGCACTGGCATCTTTTGATTTGCAGCTTCTGGCAGTAGGAGATACGCTGCTGATTGGAACCTCAATCTCAGCTGCTGGACATATAAATGATATCAAATTGTTAAAGAAATATTACAAATTTTATGTGCATCTGATGATTCTATCAAAAACAGTATAGGCTTCTACATTTAATTAGAAAATGAAGTTTTTTTGTTACTGCAATACATTACATTTATGAATCCATAGAGGTTGCTGGAGTGCTGCTGTTTATATAGGTCATGCATATAGCTAATGCAGCAGGGCAGAGAAGGGGTGTTTATCTTAAACTATGGCTGTCTTGTATTTTATCATTAAAAGTTAAAGTAAGACTGATGAAATGTCAGACCAAATAGTGAGGACTATTGATTAGTAAAGCTGGTACAGAGATTGCATTAGACATAGCTTGTCATCATTTGCAACAAAATACAAGACATCTCTTGTTATACACACAGTCACCTGCTTACATAACACATTCACCCACCAACAGAGTCAGTTTCTGAAAAACATCTAAATATAACAGCAAATGGATGGATAGAGAACACACCCACACAGCAATGTGATACCGCAGCATTTAACGAGAGAGAAAGTGTTTATTTTGCTGCCTGTAAGTGGTGATTCACATCTGCAGAAATGGTTACTAAGAGGTAAAGATCAGAGATACAGTAGCAGCTAATCTATAACTCACTGGACTGCCTCTGGCCTTTGTCGTCGGCCAGTGTTGTGCTGTCAGTGTCTCTGCCACACATCCTCTCCTCCTCCTTCGACAGTGAATCATAGCCTTGGTCTGACTGTCCACCTAAAAAAAAAAAAAGATAATAAGCTTGACTCCTCTGAAAACCAGACTGGTTTCTTATATTTTTCTCTCACAGTTTTGTTTCATCTTTCAAAAAAAAAGCAGAGGGAATCAATAGCCAGCTATTTAGTCACAGTGAATACTTTATAAGATAACTGATCTGACGGTTTCTGTTTGTCAGAGCATGGTGACATTCGTTAAAGCTTACAGCACAAAACACTCCCAGAACAAAAAAATAAAAAAATAAAAAAAATTGGAGCAGCGGGAAAGGAGCAGTCCTTGAAAGACTGCATCATATTCACAAGGTCAAACTGCAGAAAACGTACAAATCTGCCCCACTGTGTGCGTTATTCTCACAGAATTTCTGCTTTGTTCAGGGCCAAGAGATAAGACAAGTGAGACAAATTGTGAGCCAGACTGAGACTAATGAAAATGTTAGTGTAGGACCTTTAACCACAATAATCTCTGATGTCTCTACTGTCCTCTATCTACAGTTCATAAATGCCTATTGAAGGCAACCTCATCCTTAATTTTCCTTATTCCACATGGCCATAACAATGTTTTTACACAAGTAGGCTTCTTAAGGTGGTAAAATCAAATCAGTTCTTTACCACATTTTCCAGAGGAAAAAAGACACAAGGAGCAGCAATAACGCAATTAAATGGTGACAATAAAATAATTGCATAAAGAAGTAGTGCTGTGTCTCCCTACCTGTACTAAAACCATCATCACTAGAGTCCATTTTAGTGAAATCGGTGTCGATGGACGTGCGTTCAACAGAGTCATTAGCACTGTCCAAACTGCCGTGACTGACGGTGTCAAGATCACTGCCATCTACAAGGAGATCATAGAAAAGATGGTAAATAAAAGGTTAAAATCCAAACCAGAGCCCAGCTGCTATAGGAGCAGTAAATAAACAGTGACTGAACAGTCATTATCATTCAGAAGTGTTTGAATGCACATACAGCCTATAGTATACATAGCTTTCATGAAGAGTGAATATCACTGAACATAAAGGATGCCTGATTGCCAAGGTTTCACTTTTCTATCTTATTTTTAACTCAAAGAAAAGCTAAATGAAGCCTGAATGACTCACATTTTGCAATTTCACAGACACATTACTACTCACTGAAATAACAATCATGATTAAGATCATACTACTTAACATGATCACCTTTCCATTTTTGAAATGTTGTATAAAATCCACTTTGTGAAGTGAATGAAATCAAAGGGAACACACAACAACAACCAGAATAACGTTACATTATATGGGATTAAACGTAACGCTTTCATTAGAGCCCCTCACACAGCATGTCATCGTGGCAAAAGAGTCTCACTGGGCCATTGTGGGAAATAGGGCCTGACACCAAGAGCAACCTGGGCGCCGTGTCTGCTGGAGAGGAAAACTCTCTTCGCTCTGTTTAATTAGTGTCATTAAGGAAACGTGGGTTGGAAACAAAATGTGCTGGAAGAGGCATGAGACCAGGAAAGACACCTGCTCCCAGACCAGAGCTCATTTACATGTCTAGTCATTAATAACAACAGTAAGAATAATCCTTTATTATAAGTCATTTACTGAATTTGTGTGCAAGTGAAAAGTAGTTACCACTGAACTTAATCCACTCCCAAACAATTTAAAACCAGATAGTCTTGGGCATAAAGCAGTTACTGCTGGAGTGTGTTACAGTACTGTATATGTATACAGTCAGTGTGGGAGTGTATGATATACTGTAGTGGTCATCACTGGGCAAAAACATGCTTAAAAATATGTTATGGCTGATTTCATATGCGGACGATTCATTCATTGAGTGTCCAAGTGTTTGTTTTTGTTCTTTCTGTAATATTTGTGATATATTATTACTCAATCTTAAATATGTTATATTCATATCAAACTTTCTGTGCAGTTCTAAAAATTAGTTTTCCCTTGAAACAAGGGTCAGTTACTGGCCATGGAAGCTTTCATGGATTAACTTGCTAAAGAAACATTGTTTTCTCTGAAAATGTTGGACCGAATGTTTATGCAAGCACTGCGATAAAATGAAAAATATTAGAGCTGTAATGAGGATGGACATTAAGGGTTGTCAGAGCTGACATTTGTATTCTTACCTGAGAGCTGAGGATCTCTTTGTGGAGTCTGCTGTTTTCTCCTTGCTAACTTGAACTGGAGCACACCTAGGACCACATTCCTCAGCTTTCCCCACAGAAAGTAGCCTCCTCTGGTGGTGGAAGGCCAGGTGCTTTCCAACACCGCCTGGAGCATGAACATGGTAATATTTTAAAATTTAAACTAAACTGTTCAATTCAAATTTTCTTGTTTATTATTTACTCTTTAGTTGATACCAAGAGTACACACCTTGTTGTAGTACCCATAGGTGATGGCATTGGGTTGAACCCCAGCCTTTTTCATCTCAAACAGCACCTTGACAGCCAGGACAGGCTGGCTGTACTGGCCGCATAACTGCAGCAACACACGGTAACAGACCTTGGAGAGAAAGCATGAAGACATCTCATTTAAAAACAATTCTACAATAATATATACTGTATATCTGCATGTTTGTCTTATATTTAGCAGCCTCCTACATCATCTGGAGCCTGCAGCTTCTTGTCCTGCATCGTCCTCAGCACATCGTAAGCTGTACGCAGAGCTCGCACCTTGGAGTGGCAGGTTCCGACAAATCCTGGCAGACAGATGAACCACAGGCCATAGCAGTGGCGCAGCAGACACTTGGACCACATTTGAGGCATAGCTGAATAGGTTTTGGCCATTCTTTGAGCTGATTTAATCTCCTGAGATTAAAAGAAATAGCCAGATTTAAAGTATTCACATTTATACCATTATCCACTGTTATGAGTGCAAACATAAGAAGAAACAAATACACCTCAATAAGAATTAAAACTGACAAAACATTTACAAAAAGTTCATTCAATTCACAATAGATAATAATATTCATAATTTCATAATAGAAAAAGATACTTGAAGAGATAAAAGCAGGGGAAATGAAGTTTGTGTTTACATATGTATTTTAGAACAATAAATGATCATTCACTTCTAAGACAGTACAATGTAATGGTGTTTAAGCTCTATTTCCCACAAAATCTCACTACTCGTACAGCTGACCTGTTTAGAGCGTCTAAAAATGGCTGTAGGGCTGGCTGGGCTGCTGTGACGCGAGGCCATGCCTGCTGATGAAGGCACTTGTCCCTCCAGTGACTCTAGAAGCTCAGCATTCAGCACAGGGAACCCAGCATAGCTGCAGAAAGACATGCTCTCATGAAATAAACTGAAACAGACATCAGTCCCACAGAAACACTAGCAAGCCACGTGACATGCACAGCAATCTGGCTCTCAAAGCTGTGTGTGCATGGACAGAAAAAGTCTTACAGCGGTGACAAATTCTTTAACAACAGAGGCAATAAACACAAAGTCTCATCTTTTGGAGTTGCACTGTGTGCACCCAGTGTCATTGAGAAGTGCTGTTTAAGGTGTGTAAGACAGTGTATGAGAAAGAAACTGCCTGTTTTGTATCGACCGATTAGAGATTGATCTGCACCTGTAGCACAGAGGATGTTCTTCCCCCTGTGGCAGTGGAGGCAGCTCTGGAGGGTTGATATAGACTGTGTGCTCGCTGCGGTGGGATTCATCCAGTTCAATCAGTCTAGTGTCCTCTGGCCGCTCAATGTCCATCTGCTTTGCAAGAGAAACACACATTTACCATGGTTCTTCATCTTTCCTCTTAGCTATGCTATGCACACAAATACTGTACACAGTTGCTAATGCAGCTTAGAGGTTCATGGCACTGTATGAGGCCTCAGATCAGATTAGATATGAGGGTCCAGTGAGGGTAAACAGATGTCAGTAATGAGTCCATCTACATCAGGAATATGGCCGGTGTCCCCATTCCATGCTGAGGCAGGGCCTTCATCCTATGTATCTTCAAGACTAAATGAATCCAGGCTGCAGTGAGCTGGACAAAATGGTGCTAACCATTTAACTGTATAGCTTTGGAGGCAATGCATGACACTAAACTGCCACATTTACTTCAGCTCAGAACTGATCTGCTGCATGGAGAAAAGTGTTCAAGGCCCCACAGTCTACCTGCCTGTCTGAGAACAACAGCAGCAACACAAAGGACAATGACAAGGTAAAGCCTTCATGTTTGTTTTAAGAGAAAATATGCACAATAGTTCTGCCATCATAAGCATCCTGCTATGCCGATGTGGTGGTTGGCTATTTGAATGAGTTATTAGCTCATCTCTGGTATGTGCTTCACGAATAATTAATATTATGGCAGCACCTGAATATGGTACTGCATTACTGGGTTTATTCTGTTCAGTCGAGTGGATGATTCAGTCAGCTGACTCTCACCGACCTGCTCACTTCACTTCTGTTCAGTGTTTCTCTAAGTGTTGACCTTCCTCTTACACCAAAAGAATCTTTCCACATCACACACTTGTTGTCAACCTCAGCAGCAATGACGCTGAATGAATCAACGCTTCCACTTCTCAATAATGACCACAATGTTCATTCATGCAGGATGTAAATGTGACTTCCTGATTGCACAAGTGTTCTAGTACACAGCTTTTTTGGAGAAGAGGTGGATGTTTTGCCATTTTGGGGGTGTTGCAAAACATAAGTAGGCAGCATGTGATAATAAAGCTGTCAAATGATTCATGATTAGCCCTCTAACTGAGGACGAGCAAGAAATAATATATGAACACCACAATGCACAACATCTCAACAAATAAGGATTAGTACCTCTGTCTTTGTCTTCCTATTTTCTTCTATATTGTAATTCACAGAGGCTAATGAAGTCAGGACAGTGCACAAAATAAGCACAGAGTAATCACACTGTCTCAGCATCACCTCAGAGTCTAACACTTCAGGCTAATGGCACCTGGTTCAATAATACAGACTGCTGACACATACAGCTAATGCACATCTTCACATTCAAGACCTTCTCTGCACTTTTAACTCCACTCCTACTTTACCTCACTTTGATTCATTCAGAATGAATGGACACACACAAAACAGTTGGAGCTCAGCCACGCTGTAAAGACCCTGGAAAACACTTGATCAGGATCTTACCTGATGCTACTATTGCTAAAAAAAGGAAAAATATATAAAAACATACCCTTGCAAACACAAAAGATTTAAAACTACAATGCAAGATCTAGTAGCTTACCTTTCCTCCAGTGGTAAATAGCTAACAGGCAGGGGCCATGAAGACAAAGGAGCAGAGAGAAAAGACAAAAGGCAGAAAATCAGAGAAAAGGAGAAGACCAAAAGGAAAGAGCAAAACGATTTATTAAAGGACTGAGAAAAAAGTAGGGGGAAAAAATAGAAGAAAAGGCTTAGTGCTGATGTTAATACAAGGCTTAGGGGAGATGCTGGAGTGTTAATTACTCTGTTTATTTCTATTAGTTCTTGTTATTTGCTTGTTAGCTCATTTAAATTAAACAAAGGCCTCAACAAAATGGCTTAACTGAGAGAGAGGACAACAAGTTATTAATCTATCTTCTAAATTACTCAACCTTTTCTCTGAGAACTGCAAGCGGTTGGCAGCCAGACTTACTGGAGCTTTTGTTCTTATGCAGCACAACGATGCAGCTCTTCTGATAAATAATCGGTGACATGGAAAATCTATAATAAAAGATAAGCTGCAAGCCTCACCTTATCAACACACTCATCAAAGAAAGCCAAGCTGGCATCTTTATCACTGACGAAGGAGCACTCCTCTATAAACCGGCTGAACATCTGAGTCTTAGTCATGAGGGAGTAAAATCTCTGATGGGAGCGATCTCTGCTCTTCAAGAAACCTATGGAAAAAATATATATATATAATAACAAACATGACAAGTGGGTATTAATATCAGTGTCAGCACCTTTCAAGCTGTTGCAGAACATTTTGTGGGGTCAAAATGCAGACTTAATCAGCATTTACAGGAAATTAATAGTGTGCGAGGAAACAAGTTGCTCTCTGCTGCTCTGCTTGCATAAGAGCAAACAGATGTGTGGGCACATTGTGCTATTAATCACGGTGCTTTCTGCAACTTGCCATCCAAACCTAATTTCCAGCGCGAAGCTAAATCACCAGTTATTACAGCAGTGATCTAGGCCACACGTTGGTACAGCAGCACTCAGACATTAGCTCCCTGACCCACCACAGCACTGAATCACATGAAGGCAAGGCAACAATGGCTTGTCATTGTGTTTTGTGATTACATCCAGTATAACACATTACTGACTGAGGCTGAACTATACCTTGGAGGTCAAAGAGGGAGCTGGCATCTGTGGTCTTCTCAGAGGGAGCTTGGGTGATGGGCAGCAGGTAAGAGCGGTAGCCTCGTAGGATGGCTGCCATGAAGTGCAGGAAGGCCTCCTGGATCTCCAGCTCCAGAGTGTGGAGGCTCTTCCCCCCACTGAGCTCACTGTCTGTTACCGTGTTCTCCATCCGAGCCTCCTCGCGATTCAACTGACCACCTGAGAGCACATGACAACATAAAATCACTTATACTTTTATTTCCAAAGCACAAACATCATGGTGTTATTAAAGGAAAAGTCAAAAGACCACCAAATTCTTTAGGGTTCATCCCATGGGCACTATTATAGTGTGGACAAGATTTCATGATCCATCCAACAGTTGTTACTTTAGTCTTGATCAAACTGGTAGATTGACCAAGCCACAGTGATAAAGAAGCTAATACATTTTCTTCATTCACAGACGACATCAAGCCATAAAACAACACAACCATATGCCGAAATTTGAGTAAAAGAGCAGAAGTGATTCTGGGTAATTGGCTAATTGATGTATACAGTAAGTAGATGATGCAGGTTGAGCTGGAGTGGGTATGCCATAAAGACTAAATTACACTTCATCCAAAATAGCTCCTGGGAGGCACTAAACATTATAACATGGTTTTACATGACTATGTAAGCAATCCGGTGTGTTTTACTGTAAAACTGACTGTACAGGCTGACTCAGAGTCAAGTAGCCGGCCTAAATTATTCATGACACCACCTATAAAATGACAGCATCAGACTGGACTCACCCTCAGTGAGCTGCTGATAGAGCTTATTCAGGGTATTCAGAAGATGTTTACAGGCTCTCCTGGGCAAGATTTTCCATGTTAAAGCCTTCTTCTCATCTTTTCTGGAAGCACACCATATGGTTTTTATTACATGGGAGGAGAGTCAAGAAATGTTGCAAAAAGACAGAAGGGGAGAGGCAGATTCACCGATATCAGCAATGACATTTTAATCTCTCTGTAAAATAGCTTTTGAATTGATGTGGGAGACCAGCTATACCCAAATGTGCTTTTGTGTACTGTAAGAATATTTCACATTCCATTTACTATTGTAACATAAGAGGTGGTCTCACTGACAGATACCAAAAACTTTGGGAAGGACATTCATCATCAGACCAAGAATAAACAAATAAAAACCTAAACCATGGGAAGATAATTTCTGGCTGGGTGCCTTAAAAGCTGAAGGTAGCCATCTATCACACAGTGGCTTCAGTTTAGAGGTCACTTACTGGGAGATTGTGTTGGTGTCCAGATCCACACAGCTGATGTCAGCCGGGGGCACATAGAGGTCAAAGTATCTGGAGTCTACACCTACAATAAATGGACATGGTGCACTGAGCACATCAGCCAAGGCCAGAGGGCACAGAGGGATGTAGGGGCATGGCCAGTGGAAGGGAAAGATCATCTGAAAAGGAAGAGAAACACTCATCATTGTAATCAGTATAATGCATCAATATGATCAAGAGAAGAGATTTTAACAGGAAGCTGGTCAACAATTTTTATTTTTTGGGAATTTCTTTGAAAAGTATTTTCCAGCTGTAATTATTGTTGAACATTTCTAATACCAGAGAAGATCTTGATGTGATTATGGGTGATTCACTGATGATACAGCCGTGCCTCTTACCTCATCCACCACTATGCCTATAATCACACCCTTTTTAGTGTTATCAAAAAAAGAAGAAAGCAAATGAAAGAACAAAACACTTACAGACACAAGGGCCTCAGTGACACTGGTGAGTACAGCTGGACGCAGGGAGTGGACCAGGATCTTGTGCTCTGTGACAGCCAACACCAGCAGAGTGGCTGCGTTTTTCGGGCCCAGATTTAGCAGTAATGTGGAGAGGCTTCCACCACTACAACACAAAAACACACACAGTAATAAAACAAATGGTTCTAGAAGAAAGCAACCAACACATACAGCGTCTTCATGTTAGAATTTTACATTATGCTGATGTTTCCTACCTGAGGGGGAGTGGAGAGGAGACAGGCTGGCTCAGGATGAGGCTGTCATGTGGGGACAGCTGCGGAAGACACACAGAAGAGCATCAGTGGGCGGAGGATTTAGCTTGTGACCACAGTGTGTTTAAAGACCTTCACGTCAAACCAAATGAAGGAAGCATACAAAACTGGAGTCATTATTTCAATCATCCAATTTCACATTTCACCTCACCTGCACGAGGATTCGTGGTCTCTGAGTGGAGGGGAATGGCACATTTTGCATGAAGTGAGAGATGTGCCTGTGGAAAAAAAATCTAATGTTAATCAAGCAGCAAATGCACCTAATCCTGTCTGCAAAACCGAACCTGATAGACTTCAACAAAAAACAAATTCTACTAACTTTTCAATAGGCAGGGCATGTGGTCCAGAGATGGAGTATCGGTACAGGAATGTAAGAAAGCTCCTGAAGGACTGGAAAAAAGGCCAGTGGGAGAGCAGACAGATGCTCTTGTTACTGTAAAGACTTTTGGTCCCATCAGATCTGAGATCAGAGCTTGGCAGGCCAAGCTGTGAGCGCTGACGCTCAGACAGGTTCTCCTCTGAGTAAGGCTCATAGAACTGGATGGCTGCTCCGTACACCTACACACAACGGGATCACAGTGTAAATGTGATGACGAGCATAAAGAATATCCAGTACTGCACAACCATGCGCACATAAAAAGACTTGTTAACACCATGATGAAAACTTTACAAAGACACAGCACCACAGTAGGCTGAGATCATTTTCATCTTGTCCATTGACTTTATATAAGAGCTGGCCAAACCCTCCAAGACGTTACCGTCTGGTTTTCTGAAGAGCACTGCCTGTACTGTTTGCCTCCTTGTGCGTGGACTCTGATTACTCCCCTGTTTCTGGTTATTGCTCATAATTAAACTGTTTATCTGTATTCTTTTAGACTGTCAGTATTCACTTTCCTGCTGGCTGAAGTTGCTTAGTTTGTCATATACTCCATCAAAGCAGTGCGTTCACCTCGCTGACACTGTCTTTTGTGTGTTTCTGCATTTAAGGCCAGACCTAAAGTGATGCATTATAATGAGTCAGCTAAATCATGCTCAGTCCTTTCAAGTTGTTTCCCACAAGTAAATAAGCAAATCATTCCAGACATAAAGTGCTGGGAGACTAGCCTGCAGACGAAAGGTTGACCGAGTGAGCGGTGAAGCATTCAGCATTTAAAACTTGTGCACCAGCCAAAGTGGTGCATGAGCTATCCATTATTCAAAAGATGAGCTCAAAAATCTTTCATGCTGCATTGCTTTCAAAGGTTTAACACCCTTTTAGTATTCCAAACACAAGCCTTTAGACTGTTTTTGATTCCAGTCAGAATTTAGAAGTTGCTTAAGATTATCTGTATTCTTAGAAATACTACTGCAGTTCATCAACAAACTAATCCATAAGGGAAATTAATGCACAGAGAGAGTCAGAGGGGTAGATAAAAATGGAGAGTCTGGCTGAAATTGAGAATTTAAGAGGGGATTTTTGCATTATTGGGCAGAAAATTGATGCTTTTGGGAGAATTGGTCAATTAATGATGATGTAAAAATGAACTCTGAGGGAAGCAGTGGTTTTCTTGGCTATATCTTGGCACATAAAAGATACATGAAATAAAAGCGTAATTAAAAACAAAATTATGAGAAAGACACATGGTTATAAACTAATGAAAGTAGGTACCTTTTCTCCAGATGCCCCTGTCAATACAAATGTGGAAAAAACAGGTAGAGAATGTTTGGTGTGTGCTGGCCAGCACTCGATTGTAGCCCCCATGGGCAGACAGAACATAGGGACTGACTCAGGCAGGGGGAAGGACTCGTAGTCCTCTTCAGGGTACCTACACAGCAGACCTGGACACAAGTACACCTAACATAGTCAAACACAGTCTCCACTGTGTGTTCTCACAAAAGCAAGTGAATCTGCTAACAACTGACATAATGCAAACTCTGTACATTACTTTACCTGCTTTGTATGCGATTGTGTTTGCTTTAGCCAGAGACTTTTTATAACAAAGGTAAATTGAGGATCCCCACTGGAATATGAAGAAAAGACAAAGACCATTACAAACCAGTGACATGCAGACACGATAGAGAAGTAACTGCGTTCTCAGAGCTCTGTCCCACCATGCTACTGCTGAGGTTCTTGTCCACCTTGCAGAAGGTGTGAGGGGGCGTTTCCCCCTTGCCAGGGATGATGATGCAGACATCAGTGACAGCCAGTGAAGTGTGGGGCTGGCTCTTCGGGGCACGGCGGTAGGTGATGTAGATGCGTTGGGAGGACGAGCTGCTGATGTTGGCAGGGCGACCTGAGGGCGTGGTCTGAACAATGTGACATCCAGGCTTCAGCTTCTCTTTCCACTCATATAAGACTCTGAAATATAAAGCAGTGTTTTTTTACAATCTTACTGAAACGAGACATTTAAGAACAATATTCCTGAAGAGGTCTCATGATATATTCACTGAGGAGATGCCAGATTAGAAGATGTGTTTTAAGAGCAGATTAGAATGACCCAAGGCCAAGAAGTGATTAGTGCTACTGGGTGAGTAAAGGGTCAGGGACTGAGGATTACTACTTACCCAAGATCTGTCAGTGGGGGCTTATCTCTGCCTCGCTTGAAGCACAAGAAGATCTGTGGGCCCCTGAGGCTGGCTCCATTGAGCTCTGCAGAAAGGCCTGAGGGGGTGTTTTCCACACAGGTGAAACCTGGGGGTACCTCTTCCCCCAGGGAGCGGATCACCACAGCTACATCGGTGATGGGGGCTTTGGGTTTCACAGACTTGGGCGCGGCATCATCACAGTGGAGCTCCTCCTCTACAGGCTTGGATGAATCGGTGAGGCCAGCAACCACAAAGTAGTCGGCTACACGAGGCCCTTTATCCTCCATCATTTCCCATTCCCACACTGTGGGCTGGAAAGTAAAAAGGAGGAGAGAGGGATGTAGTCTGAGCAGACACAATATCACCTTTACATTCACTCTCGGAGCTTTCTTGACTTCTCTAGTCACTATTGTCTTCTTATTACAATTGCTGGATTAAACATGAGAATAGAGATAACATGTGGCATGTAAAATGTAGATATTACCTACTATACATTACAAAAACAGTCTATACTGAAGCATCTGGAAGCATTTAGCATGCATTCCTGTCTAGAAAAACATCGTATTTCACCAAGAAATATGGGAGAGCTTGAGACCAATGACCTTGCTATATGCCACAGCCAATTACGTAAAATAAAACACATGCCTCTAAGAAATAAAAAAAAATAAATGTGGAAAATAAAAGTACAAGAACTATAACTGAATACTGGGAAATTCGGGGGGCACTGTATGATGTTGGCAAAAAGAAAGGAACAGAGGTCTGCTTGTTATAGGTGTATCACAAAGCATGGAGCATTGGAAGCTGGGCCAGCTTATTGTGCTTCAGCTGAACAGCCTGCTTTATCTCTCTCTGCTGTTCCTCCACACTCACACGCAAACTGATAAACAGCTGCCTATTATTTTCCTCACTAGGTTATGAAGGGGTTAGCATTAGTTATGCCCATTCTCTGTGCTGGATGTGTCACCGCTAGCAACCACGGCACAATGGACGCTACGATCGTATCTCACCTGCTAGCAGTAGGACTTAGGTTTCAACTGGCTTTAAAACTAATGGATCTGTGTGATGTTTCATATTGTGGTCTTGCAATGTGGACATAAACCTAAGCACTGCTTACAGGCTTACGGCGTGAAACTGACTTAAAAGAATAAAAGATAATCTCTAGTAGCAAATATACAGCAGCATTTCCATCATCACAGTGAGGGATGAGAATGATTCAGCTGTTAATCTCTACATAGTCAGTCAGAGAACCAACAACACCTAGATTTACTTATTTTCAGCTAGTTTCTGGGCCTAAGCAATATGCAAAACAAATTACAAACAAAATTCTGTTAAATATTTCATGTTTCATAAGCCTGTTTGCTCTGTACATCAGTGAGTGTTCTTTCAAAATGACTCATCACAAGGTCCTACAGTGTTTTAGTCTACATTAACTGATGTTTATGTCTAATGTTCCCTGATAAGCTGATGACTATTTTGACAGAAGATATTTGTACTTTACAGTGTTAATCCTTGTGGGTATAC